GGGGGCGGAGCGCCCGGGCGGGGGCGTGAAAAGCGCGCCGACGGGGCGGCCCAGCCCTCTGCGGCAACTCGTGGCAGCCTGCCCTGCCACCCTTGCCGGCTCCTGCGAATCTAGGGTGCAAACAAACCTACCTCGCTTTTGACCACCCTCGCTTCCAAGAGGTACCGAGCGATGCCAAATTACGGCCTGTACTGGTCAGGCCGCTTGACGAGGAGGCTCGTGGTATGACTTGGTTTTGCCTGGAAGCGAAAGCGGGGTAGGTAATTCACGCTCTGAGAATCGACGCCATGCGACGATCATCGACGCCGGATCGGCGCGCATCGCCGCCAGAGCGGCGCCAGGTCGCCGACTGCCAGACGCGAGCGAACCCTGGAGACGTAGCCACGGGGGTACACCAGGCTCTCACGACTTGCTGCCGAACCGATGTACCCTGATCAATCGATACTGGAATGGTATGGTCACGATCCGCGAGATCGGTCGCTGGCGGTTTTGCCTGCCGTTCCTGTATCAGTCGCGACGGACTTGCGAATTAGCCAAGATCGGTCGCGACCATTTTGAACGCCGATCGATTGCTGCCGATCACGACAGGGAAAAAACGGGCATCGAATGATCTTGGGTTCATCGACCTAGCACAATCAGCTCGACGAATCGTCAGGGGGGGGATACAGAAGCAGCAAGGAACGGCATCTTTCGGAGGTCCGCGCAGATTTCGTGGATCGGCGCTGGCCCGGCGCTGGTCCAAGAACTCCGCGCGGGAAGTCTCCTGGCTGATCTCGAGCGGCGTCTGGCTGGCCACGGCCAGACGGCACGACAAGTCAGAGCGATGCCCAGGCTTAGCAGGTCTGTGCTGGAGCGGATTGCGAAATCGGAGAGGCTCTCGAAAGCGGAGCGAATCGCCAGCGAGGCGTCCCGGATCGGATCGGTATCGAATCGCCGCGCCCCGCTGCTGGCTGGCCCTGGCCGATGCCAGTGACTAACCCGGAGCGCATCGGACTGGAATCGCGGCCCCAGACGGCGAGTCGCATCGGATCGAATCGGGTCGCAGGCGGCCCTGCTTGGCGACGGCCGCCGAGGGCCCTCGAGGGCCGCCGAGAGCCGCCGAGGCCGCTGGGTGGTGGCTGCCGGAGGCCGCTCGTTTTGGCCGCTCGTTTTGGCCGCGCGTTGGGGTGCCCGCTGGGGTCGGGCGCGCCCCAAAGCGGGCTGCACGCGCGTCCGCGCGGGCTCCCCGCGCGCGCCGCGCGCGAGCCATCTCCGCGCGGAGGCGCGCGCCCCAGGGCGGCTCCTTGCCGGCGGTCGTCGGCCTCTTGCGGGGATGCGGGGGCCCCTCCTCGCTCTTCCGCTTCCTCCGCCAGGGCCCTTTTCGCCCCAGCCCTCCTCCCTTGGCATCCCCCTCCCCCTCCTCCCCCGCCGCCTCCTCCTCCTCCTCCTCCTCCTCCTCCTCCTCTTCCTCCTCCTCCTCTTCCTCCTCCTCCTCCTCCTGGTCCTCCTCCTCCTCCTCCTCCTGCAGCTCCTCCCCCCTCCTGTGTCCCCCTTCCCCCTCCTGTGTCCCCCTTCCCCCTTTCCTGCACGCTCGAACTTTCCATACTTCCTTCGCCCTTCCTCCTCCCTCCTCCTCCTCCTCCTCTCCTCCTCCTCTTCCTCCTCCTCCTCCTCCTCCTCTGCTCCTCCTCCTCCTCCTGGTCCTCCTCCTCCTCCTCTCCATCCTTCTTCCCCTACTCCTGCTTATCCCCTCCTCCCCCTTATCATCGCAACCGTCGTATATCCCCCTTGTCCATACGCCTTGTCCCTCCCCCCCTTCTCTCTTCCACCCCCTGCTACATGTCCTCCCGCTCTGCCAAGGTTCCCCTCAGCCTTTCGTCCCGTCGCTCCTCCTTCTCATCCTCTCCATCGTCTGACACCTCGTCACGGGCGTCCATGACATCCCTCCTCTTACTTACAACCAACCTCGTTGTCCTCATCGTCCCCGTCTTCCCCCTTCTCATCATACATGGGCGCGATTCATGTTTGGCCCAAGTTTGCCACTGCGGGGCTCTTGGCCACGACCCAATGGAATGCCGCAAAATGCATTTCTAATGTTTCCAACCAGATTCGAACCTGGTTCGAACATGCTTTTCGAGGACGTCCCGGGCGAAACGCTCAGTGTTCCATCGGCTCGAACCGAGTTCTGACCTGGTTCGAACGTGATGTTCGAGGAAGTCCCGCACGGAACGCTCACTTTTGGAGCCTTAGAAAGTTTGGCCAAGCTGTACCACTGCGCGCGCTCTTGGCCACGATACAATGGAATGCCCCACGATGCACACGAACGAAAAATCGTCCTGAAATTCGACTTCGAACCAAATTCGAATCTGCTTCGACCCTACTTTTCGAAGATGTCCCGTGCGAAACTATCACTTGCCCATGCTGGTCCGACATTAGTTTCAAAGACGTTCCACACAGAACGCTCACTTTCTATTGGGTCGAACCGAGTCAGGACCTGGTTTGAACGTGCTTTTCGAGGAAACTCCGCACGAAACGCTTATATACTCTCTATTGTTTCGAACCGAGTTCGAGCCTGGTTCGAACATGCTTTTCGAGGACCCCCCGCACGAAACGCTAAGTTTGTAGATTGTTTCGAACCGAGCTCGAACCTGGTTCGAACCTGCTTTCCGAAGATATCCCGCACGAAACGGTGTCTGCTCTATTGTTTCGAACCGACTTCTATGTTGTATTGAACCGACTGTCGAACCTGGTTCGAACCTGTTTCGGGAGGAAACCTCAACGCGGTTCGCCGTTTTCGAACCCCACCCCGTTCAGTCTTATACAAATTTAGGTGGGGGTACAAAACCAAGGTTGCCGGCTCCCTGCTGGCACAGCTCCGCTCCGGTCACTTTGAACCAAACTCCGCACGCCTAACGGGACACCTCCGGTGCACGCTGCGCCAACGTGTCAATCATTGTGCGATCCCACAGAGAAAACCGTCTACGAGAACTAGTATCCTTGTCATCATCCACATTTCCAATATGGTGTTTAGGTTTCTCCTGCTACTCCTCACAATCGTCCAGCTCATGTCCAGTCTCACCAGACTTATGCTCCTAATTCCTCCACCGCATTATCGCCATCCAGATGCCTCCTCGTCGTTCAGCCATGTCCTCGCAGACATCCTCTATGGCATCATCATCACCATCATCATCATCACCACCATCACCATCAGCAGGAGAATCAGCATCAGCATCATCCTCATCACCAGCATCAACATCAACATGAACAGCATCATCATCAGCAGCAGCGTCACCACCACCGCCACACCCTTCTCAGCATCACCCTCCACATTCCAACCTTCTTCATCAGCATCATCCTCATCATCCTCATCAGCAGCATCATCAGCATCACCATCAGCATCTTCAGCACCATAACCATCATCAGCAGCAGCGTCATCATCTACAGCATCTACATCATCTACATCATCTACATCATCTACATCATCATCATAATCATCATCATCCTCATCAGCATCATCATCAGCATCATCATCGTCAGTATCATCACCATCATCAACGACAGTATCATTATCATCATCAGCAGCAGCGACACCAGCATCATCGTCATCAGCAACATCATCGTCAACATCATGAATCTCATGATCCCCATCAGTACTGTTACCGCCATCGTCAACCGACCGCTTTTCACTGGCATCATGACAACCGCCCGGATTACCAGTTAGCATAACAGCATAAGCAATATGTTCCTTATCACTCCTGCATATCCGCCCGCCTCGTCTTCTCGGCCTCGGTATCGTAATCCACCGCCTCTTCATCTCCAACATCCTACCCATAATCCGTGCCATAGTGTCCCTGCGTGTCCTCCACTTATCTCCCCTTTCCTCCCAACCCCGCATGCGACGCGCTCCTCTTGCCCCACATGCAAACACGTCCTCCTCGCCATCGTCTCCGCCACTCCTCCGCTCCATCCTCGCCACCCAAACACCCTACCCGTGCTGCACAGAATGCCAGCAGCCAGAAAAACAGTCAACACACGTCGGCCAGCCGAGCAGGCTGCTGCCGCAGCGATGGACCGTCCAGCGGCAAGGGGGGGAGATGGGCCAGCAGCACGTAAGCGGCGCGGTGCCCACTGCTGAGGACTCACCTCGCCCTGCTCTCACACTCCAAACATTGCAGTTCTCTGCCCGCTGACATCTCCACATGGCCTGCCCACACTGACCCCTGATCCCTATGCAGAATGACGCCCCTTTGCTCAATGCCCCCAGCCCACTACAACCCAACTGCGTGCGTGCGCGGCTATCCAACCAAGTCGCCACACCCCGTATCTGAATTCCCCCCTCATTAGCGCAGCCCCATCCCCTACCCAACACACGCGCTTCATCTGTTCGAGAACGGCCCTCAAGCATCGTATCGTGCCTGGACTACCTTCAGGAGCCGCTCAAAGGCGGAAAGGTACATAGTGTGTGTTGGCCCTGCTGTGCCTAGGATCGACATCGCCCGCGGAATTAATTCATTGGGTGCGTGTCCCCCGCCTTCGCTCGCCGCGACCTGGACCACAAATTCCAGACTCCAGACCTCTCCCTCTACTCCACGCCGACAACTCAATCTCCCAGCCTGGCGCCCGCAACTCCTTTTTCACGGCTGCCCGCGCACATGTCCTCGCTAGATCCTCTCTGTCCCACACCGGCGACTCCCTGCGCCCTGCCACATCCACATATTCGTTAGCATGAACTCGGTACTACAATCTCTCTTTCTAGTACGCAGCGCCACCTTGCAGATGCAATGTCACGTACGGACAATGCCGTTGAAGACGCCTGCCTCCCAGAGCCCATGCCGTAGCATCACGAGTGCGGGTCATGCCAGCATGCACGCACTGCTGGCGTCACAGGGCCACTCCGTTTAACTGACAAGACAGGTCGGTGGATAGCCATGACGAGTGCACGCGCTCCCAGGCCAGTAATCGTGTTCACAGCCCCGCGGCATCCAGGGGGCACGGACGCAGAGCTCGGCGCTGGAGGCGCCTCATGTCTCCCGAAAGTTCATGGTGAAGGGCTCGGTACTGCTGGCCGCCTGGCGGCGGGGGCGTCATGCAGCGCTCGAGTACTCCTCAGGCCAGAGCTGGATCGAATTGCGGAACCGGATCGCAGACGGATCGGATCGCCAACGAAGCGCCTCGAATCGAATAGAAATCGGGTAGCCGCGCCCAGCTCTGGCTGGGCCCAGCCGATGCCACTGAAACACACCGATCAAATCGATCGATTCGAGGCCCCAAATCCCAAACAACGCATCGACTCGTATCGAATCGAATCGCAAACGGCCCTGGTCCTAGCCGTGAAGGCGTCCCATACGCGCCTTGATTTCCAATAGCTGGGCAGCACAAGAACAGATCAGAGTCGCTCAGAGGGCGGTCACTGCACAACGTCGCCTCAAGAGAGCAAGCGGGAGACAGGAGGAGCTTGGGAGAGAAGTGAAAAGGAGGCAGGAACACGCGGAGGGTCGGCCTGGATAGAGCCCCAAGAAAACATGAGCACGTCAGGAAGCGCATGCCACTCGCCAGTATTGACCCCCCCCTGCCCCCACCCATGCGTTGGAGCCCCCACCCACGGTGAAGAGATGGGCTCGCGTGGCATCACTCTTTTTCCATGCAGGCGCCGCCTTGCAAAGGCCTCGGTGCCAACAGCAGAATAATCCGCCGACCCTTGAGCGTGTGATGTGAGACGCTTTTCCGTTTGAATCGTCGTCGTCGTCGTCGCCGTCCTCGTCGTCCCTCTCCCTCCAGTTCCCTGGGCCCTCCTCCTCAAGCGATCCAGCTAAACGGATCCCAAGCAACGTCATCAGAGTGAGGTGGCCGAGCTGTCATTCACGGTCCCTTTGTGTGTGGCTGAAATGGGGTTCCGCGGTGCAGATTGTTGTTGCGGTGATGTTTGTTAACGTCGTCCCACTCCCGACCCGGCCCGCGATCCACCCACGACCCACCCGCGAACCGCCCGCGATCATCCCGCAACCCACCCGCGACCCACCCCCGACCCACCCCGAGACCCCAACCCGCGACCCTCCCGAAACCCTTCTGCGACCCACATCGCCCCCACGCCGTGGGGGTCCTGGGGGGATGGCCACAGCGGAGGTCCCATGGGGGAGATCCTGGGGGGGGGTCCTGGGGTTGGTCCAGGGGCCCCGGGGGGTCCCGAGGGGTCGTGCCACCCCCCTGGACCCCTTCAGCCACCCCACTCCAGATTATTGGACACAAATTTGTTCTGGTCGCAATCGGTAATTAACGACCTCTCGGCACTGCGACCGATAGCGAATCGGTCGCGACCGGTCGCCACCGATAATCGCGACCGATCGGCCGCGACCGATCTTGAAGCACATCGGTCGCCACCGATACCCAAACTGGAAAGCCAACTCGGCAGCGGCCTACCTCGCCGGCCGCGACTGGAAGATTCCGGCATCCAAGCGAGCGCGGCAGGGCCGGGGCATCCCAGCGGCGACGCTCCAGAGCCTCGACCCTCGAGCCCTCGGGCCTCTCGCCCTCGATCCGCTCGCCCTCGGTCGCCGCTCGCCCCTCGAGGCGCCCCTCGCCCTCGCGAGGCGCCTCTCGCCCTCGCGAGGCGCCTCCGCCCGGGGCCCCGGCCCCTGCTCGGGCCCTGTGGCCCCGGCGCCAGCCCCGGCACCGGCCCCCGCGGCCCCGGCACCGCCCCATGGGGCCCCTCTGGCCTCGGCCCCGGCCCCGGCGCCGCCCCACGGCCCCGGCCCAGGCCTCGGCCCCGCGGGCCGACCTATAGATCCTACCAGCCCGACCCCACCCGAAGACCCGAATCTCGGGCCTGGGGGGGGGTACGGGCTTCACATGTTTCTTGTCCATGTTCCCCGACCCGCCCCCCCCCCCCTACTGGAAATGGAGGGCAAATCGGGGCCTTCGGGTTGGGGTTGGGGTGGTTTGGTGGGCGGTGACCGTTCCCAGGCCCCGGCCCCAACAGAGAGCCCGAGAGGCTCCCAGGAGACCCCCAAGAAGGTCGTCGCCGAGAGGCTCCCAATAAAGAACCCGAGAGGCTCCCAAGAGAACCCAAGAACCCCAAAAACGTCGAGGTCGTCGCCGCTGCCGCCGTCGTCGCCGTCCCCCTTCAGGGTCGGCGGCACCGGCCGTAAGGCCTTCCGAAGACAGTGTAAACAATTCCAATGCAAAAGATTTGCCATTCAACGGGTCCTGAGGGAAACGGGTCCTGGCCCCAGTGGATTCTTCCGTACGATCGGCCTTTCATGCCGAGCTCTGTGCTGTTAACGAGCCCTTGGGAGGCCGAGGGAAACAGCAAATCCTAGGGACCACTTCCCCTGATGGCAAAGACTGGCAAAGAGAGGGAGGAGGAATAGGGGAATACCTAACTGCATAAACATAAGCTGTCGAACGTGTCGAGATCCACGTGGATATCGTGGACCTATGCCGGGCCCCTCATTGGTCCCAGCGCCGATCCCAGAAATTCGACGGCAATCCAAAAGTTGATGCTCATATCACTTGTTTCGAAGACTCCCAGCTGCGGTCGGGGTAGATGGGGTCCGAGGATCGCGCTGGGTCGTCGATGCACCACCGATGCATCAGCGATGCCAGCGTGGACAAGAACGGGGTCCACATCGAGCCGCATCGCCGATGCACTGCCGATGCGGCGCGATCCTCCGACCCCATCTGTTGTGACCCGACCCGGGAGGCCTGGTCTGTTCTCCTTCCAGGGAGCATGCCCAACGGGGCGCCCGTGGGGGACTGGCTCAGGGGGGACACGCCCACACGGAGTCGGCCATACTCTGCAGATAGATCGGCGATAGGCCCCCGATGGCGAATCCACGCGTTCCTGGGCGGGGCTGGGCTGTTGAGCCCAGATCGGTGATCAATGGGCGATTGGGGGTGGATGCATTTCCCCCCCCGCCCTGATCATCGGACGACGAGCCACGAGAACGGTCGCTACCGATTTGCTTCAAAATCTGTCGCGACCGATCGGTCGCGACCGATCGGTTGCGATCGGTGGCGACCCGTCGCGACCGACTCTGGGATTGGTCGCGATCGGTCGCAACCGATTTGGAATGCCGAACGGTCGCTACCGATCGCGACCGAACACAAGATCGGTATCCAATGATCTGGGTGGTTGTCGGGTCAGAGCTTGGCCCTCCAGCGGCCGTCCGACGCGATCTGGGCACCCCCCGAACGCCCGCGGAAGGGCGCACCTGCTGGGAATACACCCACACCCCGAGGCTGGAAAACGTCCATGAGCATCGCTTACTCGATCCCCATCCCCACCAGCGTGGGCTGGGCCCCACTGGCCGATTTACCCCCCTGATGGGGATATATATATATATATATATATATATATATATATATATATATATGTGTATAGGCTACCCCCTTCGGGTTACGAGGGGCATATCCCCAACTGAGGTGGTGAGACCGTGGGGCTCGAGATTCGGATGGGGATGGGGATCGGTCAAACGATGGCGAGTCCAGGAACCGACAAAATCAGCCTCGCACCTCGAAGGGTCAGCCGCGCGAAGGGTCTCGACCTCTGTGCCCCCCAGCCGGCCTCTCGGCCCGCGGCCTGGCGAGGGCACCCCGAGGCCGAAGAGGGCACACGGACTCCCGTCGTGCCGTTCTCGCAGCCCGAGAGGGTCTGAGCCGATCGGCCCCTGACGCTGCCACTGGCAAACATACTACGAGTTAGGTTGGGCATGTCCCCCTTGCAGGCGGATCTTGGACGAAACATGAAGCATCCTCGAAGCAATACTCAAACATAGTCTAAACAAATACTAGACAGCTCGTCCCCAGACTAGAAATACTATTTACCATGGTTGACGATTTCTCCTGTAGAGGGACATGCCCGCCATACTATTAGATGCCTCCCAGATGGGGTCCGAGTAGATGGGGTCGGAGGGTCGCGCCGCATCGCCGATGCATCGGCGGGACATCGGCGATACATTGTCGATGCGTCGGCGATGTCGGCGACACATCGGCTCTACATCGAGCCGCATCGCCGATGCACCAGCGATGCATCGGAGATGCGGCGCGACCCTCCGACCGCTTCGAATTACTCCAACCCGATCGGGGAGACCTTCTGTATATATGTATATACATACATATATATATATATATATATATATGTATATGGATACCTGACTTCACACGTGCATATACACATGCATTATGGCATGCATACATACACGCATACATACGTGCGTACACACATACATACACATATATAGCAAACCAGCACGTACACATACATACATACACATGCATACATACATACACTGCATACAGTAATGCATACGCACATGCATCCATACATATATACCTGTGTACATGCATATATGCATAAACACGTACATGCACACACATGTACGTGTATACTTGCTTACCAAAATGCATTCATTCATTCATTTATACATACCTACAAACACTCATGCATGCATACATGCATGCATGCATACATGCATACGTGTATACATACATGCATGCACGCATACCTGCATACATGCATAAATGCACGCCTACATATATGCATATAATCATATGACACCAGGGAAAATACCAAACATAATTGTTTTAGGGCTATAGGCTATAGGGCTATGGGGCGATATGGCTATATATATATATATATATATATATATATTCTGGGTTATACGGCTATACGGCTATGGTGCTATAAGACTATAGGGCTATAGGGCTATAGAGCTATGGGGCTATTTGGCTATAGGGTTATCGGACTATAAGGCTATAGGGCTATGAGGCTATAAGTGTATAGGGCTATAAGACTGTAAGGCTACTGGGCACCTGGGCACCCGGGCACATGGGCACCTGGACACCCGGGCACGTGGGCACCCGGGCACCCGAGCACCCGGGCACCCGGGGCACCCGGGCACTCGGGCAGCTGGGCACCCGGGCCCGCCGCCAAAATCGGTGGCACACCTCACCTAACCACATGAATCCGCTAGAACCCCTACAGAGGCAAGCTCTGATTGGGGAACATACACATACAAAAAATACATACATACATGCATTCATGCACACATACATACATACATACATACATACATACATGCATGCATGCATGCATGCATGCATAAATACATACATACATACATACATACATACATACATCCATACGCATACATACATACGTACATACATGCATGTATACATGCATGCGCACATGCACGCATACATACAAACATGCATACACACATGTATACATACACACATACATACATACATACATACATACATACAAACATACATGCATACATGATTACAAACATAGATGCAGACAAACAGGCAGGCAGGCAGGCAGACAGACAGACAAACCTACCTGCATACATACATGCACACATCCATACACATGCACACACATGCACATACACATACACATATTGTGTATAATGCAGCAGGCTTATATATATATATTAGCCACAGAAACACGCGGCAGAAGGATGAGCCCCCGCCCGCTCTCGGCGGGGCTCGCCGCAGGCCGGGGCGCACGAGAGCACGGCCTAGAGCTTGGGGCGCGGCCGCGCGACAAAAGAGAGCTCGCCCGCGCCCCCGTCCTGCCCTGCGCGCGCCTGGCCGCAAGAGTCTGAGAGGTGGTTCTCATGCAATCGAACCTGCAGCAGGCTCGCGTCGTGACGACCCAGGCGTTGGTTCCTGACACCGCGTGTATCGTTCAGCCTTGAACGATGGGCCGTCCCCACAACGTCCAATCGTTCAACATCAACCGACTCTGGGTCGCCGCCGGCGTTCAACGTTGAACGCCGCCGGCGGGGTCGCCGCCGGTCGACACACGCGAATCTGCCGCAGGCCAGAAGAACATCCCTCAAGGTTACGAGACCCTCCGAGGCCAAAACGCTCTGAACATCCAAGGGTGCCCTCCCCAGGGTGCAGAAGAGCATCCAACAAAGACGAAGAACATGAGGGCACCCTCCCCGAACCGGCCTCGATCTTTACACCTCGGTCCGACTGTATCCACCACCGTGCCCCTGTGGCACGAAGTGGAGTGTCTCCAGGTCCCTCGCACAACCTCTGAGCCTCACTCCCCGATCCTGAAGATTCTTCACGGGGCCCAGACAAGCCCCATAGGTGCGAGTCAGCTCACCTGCATGGATCGGAGGCGTCAACGACGGGGGCGTCCGAGAGAGGGGCTCGTAAATCATGGCCCGAGGCACGTGCGCGGACGATGGGGGTGGGCCAAGGGACACACTGAATGAAAGAGAGGGGGCCATAAAACCTGAGGGGGTATCATGGCCCCCACAATGACACCCACCCCTCCCTTGACGTCGTCACCGCCCTCTTGGACACCACCGAATGGAGGGGGGGATGGCGTTGCGAGGCCAAAAACGAAGAACAAAACAAAAACAAAGCGAAACAAAAAACTCGGGGCTCGGTCGCACGCCTATCGGTCCGACGCGCACTTCGCAAAGGCGGCAGAGGAAGGTGGGATAATCACAACCATGCAAGTAAACTTGCGTGAATCTAAAGACTAGACGCCTCATAGATGGGGTCGGAGTGGATTGTGTCGAAAGATCGCGCCACACCGCCAACGCATCGGCGATACAGTGGCGATGCACCGGCGATGTCGACGGAGCATTGGCGCCATCGGCGTGGCGAGAGTCGGGCTCCGCATCGAGCCGCACCCCCGACACATCGGGTTCCGACCCTACATGTTCGGCCCCATCTGGGAGGCCGAAACAATCCGTCACAGATGAAGCCGAGACTGGGATACTTCGGGATTGATACGGGATGTCAAAGACCCAGCGGCTCTCGAATAAATAATGTTGGGAGCCGCGGTCGCTCCATGAACGCTCCAGACAGAAAGCTCCGAAAATGTTCTGGGGGACGCTCTGGACCGATGTTTATCCTGGTCTTTGCCCCGCACACGATTAGCAACGAAGGGATCCCTGACCCTTTGGGAAGGGACCGAACTGATGAGGACCAAACACATTACCTTTCATCCCTAATGAAAAACGGGGACCAAAGTGGGGCCACGTCTTCACTGTATTATTGGGATTTGGGGCTCTTATACTCGATGAGCGAAGGAGGCATAGACGTGACTTTCGGAGGTAGCACCAGCAGTGGATCAGAATTCGGAAGGCGTCTCTCAACATGATAGAAAGCCCACGAAAGACGTACGCGCCCAGCTATGTACATGAACGCGGCCCTTCGATCTGCGAAGCGGGCCGCGTGATACGAACTTTCGGGAAATGCGTACTCTCGAAGCCGGCGTGGATTCATGAACGTGTACGTCCTTCTTTCGCTCCTGACATGACTCGGACGTCCATTCCCAATATATTACACACGATGATCCAAAATGCTCCCCGATGATCCTCGCCGAAACAACGCACGCGCCCGAACGATGTTCAGGTGTGCAGCCGACTGACCCCTGGCATGGGCGTCCAATACCCCAACATGAATTAGAAAAAATAAGAAACGCCATAAACCTCGACACTTCGCACTCCGCGCGGACTTCTCGGATCTGCGCTGGACTTCCCCTCCCCGGCGCGCGCAGCGCGTCAGGGGCGGCGCAGGAGGCTCCGCCAGGGGGGACAATTTTTTGTTGATGCAGGTTTTGCATTGTCCTTCGAATTCAATGTTCCAACATCGATTGGACCAACAGGGGGCATGGCGCGCCACCGGCGGTCCCGCGCCCTGCCGGCGATGCACCCCCCCAACTCGCCGCCCCCCCGCGCGCGTCGGGCGCACCGGGGAGGAGTGCGCGGATAGGGGGTCATCCAGCGCCGACCCAAGAGAACCGCGCAGGGACTCCCAAAAACGTACGCCTATGCCGATCCCTGAGATCCTGGCGACGCAATTTTTGATCGAGCCAAACGTTTTCGCCCAGATTCGGACCACGGGACCCTCGCATACGTTGCCGAGCAGGGCCGCCCCCCAGGAGCCGCCAAGATTTCAAAATGGGACAAATTCCAACATTCGCGCCAGGCGCACCGCGGAGGCGCGACCAACGAGGCCCCCGAGCCCGGCCATCACGTGACCGCTATGGAACCCATCACCGCGATGACGTTTCGTTCCGCGGTCGTCGGTCACAGCGTCCGCGCGAGTCTCGACGCGCGCAGCCGCCGAAACGCGGGCGGAATCGGCGCGCGCGCGCAGCCGTCGAAGCGCCCGGCGCTGGCCCGGCCGCGCGGACGAAAGCATGCGCGGGAGAACCCCCCAAGCTGATTTATGATGGAACGCGCCGGCACAGAACCGACGGACCGCGGGAAAGGGCCGCGTTGGAGACCCCACATGAAGAACACACGCTCGAGCGCGAGCGCCGCGTGGGGAACTGGCGGGACGCCGCAAGCGGTTAGATCTCGCGCCCACGCAAGCCGAGCTGACTCCGCATCTGGGGGGTGGCGCTCGTGGGCACCACCGCGGGCGCGGGGGCCGTTGGCGCAGACTCAGCCTCGACCATGGCGAGGCCCTGACGCTCTCCGTCGGGGGCCACGGAGCGCGGCTACGCAGGTGGCGGAGAAGAGGGGCCTGAAGGCAAACGTCGGCTTCGAAGCCTCGGCAGCTGCGGGCGTGGCGGCGCAATCGCAAACCCGCTGCGCGAGGCAGCGCAGCCCGCCGCGAAGGCATCCTCTCCAACCAAGCGGGGGTCCCCAGGGGAACCCCTGGCCCCCTCCCAGACCCCCCCGCCGCGCTTCTGCGGCGCGCTCCTCCCCACCCCCGTTTGGCAACGATTTTGGATACATTTCTGGCCCCGATTTTGCCCACTGGTTTGGCCTCCCTTCCGCGGAGGCCCGCTTTTTGACCACGATTGTTCTCACAATTAAATCACCAAGGAAAAATCGTGTTCAAAATCGCGGGTGGTCTGGTGGGGCCTTGCAAGGGGGCGCGGAAACGTAGCCGAAAATCGCGGGCAAAATCCGGTCCGAAATCGTGGGCGAAATCGTGTCCGAACTCGCAGCGAGATCGCGGCCGAAATCGTCGGTGAAATCGCGGGCGCAGAATCGCGGGCCTGCCCCTCGCGCCGGCATGCCAAGCAGGCGTGCCCGCGAAACATCAGCGACGGTGAGGAAAAGAGAAAGAGGAGGGAGCGGCAGCAGCAGCAGGAGGGACAGCAGCAGCAGCGGGAAGAGAAAAAAATGGGAAGTATCACCAGGAGAGGAGGAAAGGAGTCGTCGAAACTGGCCCGCCCGTTCGACGCGCGCCCCACAGCACGCTGGACATGCTTCTCGGGGGAAGCTCGCCGGCCCAACGGGCCAGAGTCGTGCGGAGATCTCCGGCGACTGCCTCGCAATAGTTCTACTTCGCACGCGCGGGGCGGCCCAGAGGAGCCCCCGGGCGCAAAGTGCCCCGGCCAGGTCGGGCAAGAGATGGTTTTTCTCCTGGGCGCGGCTTTCAGGAGCACCAATGCGATCCAAAGGGCTCCAAGAGGCGCCCGAGACGGTCCAAGAGGGCTCCGAGTCGTCGAACAATCGGTCCGCGACACCCGCGATGGCTTCCAGACGGCCCACGACGCGCACAAAATCCCCGAAGAGGCCACCGCGAGCTGAAACGATACCTGAAAACGCGATTCTGAACTTCAAAGAGAAAAGGTAGCATATTGACAAGGCGGAAACAGACCGGGGGCGACACCGCTCGAATGACGCGTCGAACCCCGAGATTGCGCGCAAGCCGCACCCCGAATGCCCAACATCGGAGCGGGTCGGCGACGCAACAACTCCTGAACAAAGAAAAACAAAACAAAATGAAACACTAATATTTCTGGCTTCGTAAAAAAAAAAATCGTTGCACCCATCCGCTTGGGGGGCGCAGTTTCATGACAGATGGATCCGGCTCGAAGAATGGCGCAGAAAACTAGGGTCTGGGGCTCCAGTCGTGATGTTTCACGATGTCTCAAGTTTTCCAATACGTCGGATCCCAGGGCTTAAGAATTCGCCACCAAACCGCGCAGCCTGTCCCACACCCAACTCGTGTGCGGGTCACGCCCCTCAGACCTGCGACTTCAGTGGGATGTCGAATGTATCGCCGAACTTGTTCTGCGGAGGGCCGCCCTGGATGTACGAGTGAGCGGCGTCGTACATGTGCTGTTTCTTCTCATCTGTGCTCAACGACAGCAGTGCCTTTCGCGCTTTCTGGGAGGCCGCCTTCAGGCTGGCCTCGCCGAACGGCGTCAACGGCTGCGGCGCATCTTTGATAGTGACGATACTTCTCGGGTTTGAAACCCTCCCTTGCAGCGGATGCACCCAGGTGCCTTCCTTCGTGCGTTGGTCCTCGGAGCCCTCGTCGACGGCGGACTCGATTTGAATCCCGGTGGCCCACCCTGAGATCACCAGTGACAGCAGCGCGGCCATGGCAAAGCGAGACGCCATGTTGTTTTCAGGTGTTCGGCACAATACACAGAAACGCGGCCGTCGGCGCAACGGTCCCCCCTTGCGCAAAGGCAGCTTGAACCACAATGGCTACAAAGGGAAGGCTGGTGCGGATTCCTCAAGCCGGCGGCACGCCTGGGGGGAAAGGTGGTACAGCCTGCGAAATGCTTTAGAAATCATGGGTTAAGAAATTCATAGTCTCAGAACTTGAATAAATACCCAAAATTCAAATTGAAACCTTAGGATTTACACTGAAACATTAAGAATAATCGAGACTCTGGCCGAAAACTTGGGTTTTCTTAAGCATCGCCTAAGGTGTAGAGGGAGCAGGCCTCCGAAGAAGAAGGCTTGGAAGGCCGCCAGCCTTCCGAGAAGCTTTCTGAGACTTCTCCGAGGACAGAGGCGGCTTCAAAGAAGCACTGTTCGCCTCCTGAGAAGCTCGTGCTCGCCTGCCGAGAGAAGGCCCGCTCCCTCTGCTCGACCCCCTGGGGCGCGCCGCCGAGGCGGCTGCTCTGGCTGCTGGCGACAACGCGCGAGCACGAACAGCAAAGTGCGGCAGGACAAGACGCTCGGAGTCGCCATGGGCTGCGACGCGTGCCTGCTTTAGGAGAAGAAAAAAACTAGAAACAAAACTTGTAGTGCTCCACGCGGATTTCTTGGGTCTGCGCTGGACCCCCCTCCCTAACGCGCGGACCGCGCCAGGGGCGACGCCGGAGGCGCCGCCGGGGGGGGGGGACCCAGCGCGGACCCAAGAAATCCGCGCGGAGCGCCAAAAGTTTATGTGTATTCCTTGTTTTCTTCTTCGACGCTTGCCCGCGCGAGCGCGCGGCGACAACTACAGCAAAAACTCGGAGCCTTCCACAAGAAACCCGACACAGAGACCCCAGGACGTCCCTTGACTTTCGGTGGGAGCGTCACGCGCTCCATAGCAAAGCCATCGAGACCCAAGAAACCCAGGGCACCCTGGAGGTAAGCAGGGTGCTTCATTAAACATGGGTTTCCACTGTATCTAGTGCTGTCACCGCGCTGTGCTAAGGCCGAGGGGGAAGCTGGGCCGCGCACGGGGCAGATCCGCGGGAGGATGTTCTCTCTCCTTCCTCCTCCTCCTCCTCCTCCTCCTCCTCCTCCTCCTCCTCCTACTCCTCCTCCTTCCTCCCCTCCTTTTCCCTTTTCTTACCTTCCGTTGTCTTGCTTGTTTAGTTTGATCTTAGCTGTGCTCGCATGGAGAACTCGTCGTTTCTGCCTACTGTCGACTGTGCGTGGTTGCACAGCTTCAAACGCGTGGGAGCATGAAACTCGACGGACTTGGACTGGATGTTTACTCACAATGAAAGCATGGACAGGTGGCAGTGCGGAATGAGCTAGGTGAAGTGGTGACAGCGCGGGATGCGCAGTGCGGGATGTGCACTGCTCTGAAGCTGCAGAGGTGTTCCTGTGATGAGACGACAGCACTTCCAACAGCACTTCCCATCTCGAACTGGTTACCTCGATGTGAGCGTCCACGTGCACGTCTCATATTGCTAGTTGTGCTGAATTCACAGCGAATCGATGTGAGCTGCGGCTGCAAGACTGCACACTATTGAGTACGCGCACGGACGAGACGCAGGACAAGAGGACCCAAAACTGCAATACGCATGCCGAGCATCGTCGGGCATGCAGGGAGAAGTGCTGGATGCCTTCCGTGGCAGTGGGGTGCTGCGCCTGGCTCTGTCAAGCTCCGTCCCAGAGTCCGACTCCCTGCGTCCCCCTCTGCCCACCCTCTGGCCCGCGCGCACACGGGGATGTGGCCATGGGGGCGGCCTCCTTCGGGGCATCTTCTGACCCGGGTCAATCCGGACCTGGGTCAGCCAGGCCTTGCAGGATCCTGGGAGATCCTGCAGGATCCTGCAGGATCCTGCACCCAAGCCCGGGTCAATGCACCCCGGGACCTGCAGGATCCTGCAAGATCCTGAAAGGTCCGGCGCTCTGACTGACCCCCGCTTGCACTGACCCCTGTATCTTCCCAGACCCCCGTTTCACAACGGCGACCCCCAGAGTTCTGGACCCCTTCCCGGAGACCCCGAGTTGTTTTTGTCACGGCCCCGAGGCCCGGCCAGGACTCCCGGAAGCAGAAGATAGCAACAAAAAACTCCCGTCGTATTTTTGTTCACACCGCGAGGGGGTCCGGGTGGCGCCCCGATGTCATCACAAGGGAACTGCAGGAGAGCCCGGAATCGAATCGGCAAAGCGGATCGGCGATCGAAATGAATCGAATCGGCGGAAATGGGCAGGCGAGTCGGGAAAAGTCGAATCGGCAGACATCGGCAGGCTAGTAGGCCTCCAATGAGGAATCGGAGCCAAAATCGGAATCCCGAGTCGAATCGAATCCAATTGGGGAAATCGAAACGAGCCCTGATTGGGCCCGAAAGTAGCAAAAGACCTCCCGGCGTGACTCTTTCCCAACGCGAGGGGGTCTGGCTTGAGGAGGAGGAGGAGGAGGAGGAGGAGGAGAAGGAGGAAGAGCAGGAGGAGGAGCAGAAGCCCGTAGGGGAGGAAGCGGAGGTTGAGGAGGAGGAGGAGGAGGACGAGGAGGACGACGAGGAGGACGACGACGAGGAGGAGAGGGAGGAGGAGGAGGAGGACGACGAGGAGGATGAGGAGGAGGGGCCCTTTCCCGCCGAGGCGGGAGGGCAGCGAGGCCCCGAGAGGGCAGGGCAGCAAAGGGGAAGGGCCTCCACGCCACGAGGGGGCGCGCGCTGCCCCCCCCCCCCCCGGGGGACGGGGGCAGGACCCCAACTCCTCCCCCTCCTCCCCCTCCCCCTCCCCCCTCCTCCTCCTCCTCCTCCTCCTCCCCTCCCCCTCCTCCTCCCCCTCCTCCTCCTCCCCCTCCCCCTCCTCCTCCTCCACCTCCTCCACCTCCTCCTCCTCCTCCTTCCTCCTCCGCCTCCTCCTCCTACAAAATCTGGCGCTCTGGCTGACCCCCGCTTGCACTGACCGCCGCCCTTCGAATTATAATGTTCCCATCGTACTTCAGGACCACATCCCAAGAATAATTTCGAGCACCCGGAGAAGTATCGGAACAGTGTCGAACGAGTATCGCCTCCCAGGGCCCGACGCGTGGACACCCTCCAGCTTCGGAGCCTTCTTGGTGCTCGAACTTCTTTCTGATGGTCAAGGCTAAAGTATATTAGAACAGCATGACCCTTCGAGCCCTCGAATCGTTTGCCTCTCCACCTCGATGCCTGGCGCGCGGAAAAGGGGGGGCCACCTTGTCCGCGCCGGGCGACGCGAGCCTGCCCGGCGAGTGCCTGGCCAGCCGAGGCCGCCGTCGCCGTCGCCTCTGCCAGCTCAGCGCACCGGGGGGGCATCTCTGGGGCGCGGCTTGCTGGGGGGGCGATGAATAAGGGGTGGGGGAGAAGGTGCCCTGGACACGAGAGGGCCCCTTTGGGGCTCGGAAGGGCCCCTCTGGGTACCCGAAGAGGGCCTCTTTTCTACAGCCCTCGCCGCCCCCCCATGTATCGACCCCCCCAGTGCGCGCCCCCCCAGGCCGCTCTCGGCGCAGCGGTCCAACGTGCTACATCGAGCACACGCTGAAATGGGTCAGGGATCCATGGATCTGGCGCGTGGGCGCCAAACCCACGGATCGGGGAAGGTACACTCCGAACCACGAGGGCAGTGCCACCTCATCAAATATCGAACCTTAATCCATGTGTGCGTTGCCTCGACACAGGAAGGAACGCCAAATCAGGAACGGAAGGGATTCTCAATGCCGCGTCAAGCCTCGTCCACGAGTAAGCTCCCCGACCTAGATCCAAGGAGCTCCTCGTGACACGGGGCCCCTCTTGACGCGAAGGTGGTGGTCCTTGGCTCGGCGTCTTGACGGGAGCTGCGGGGGGCCCAGAGCCTTGAACAAAGCACGTCGTCGTCGGGCCGTCGGGAGCGTGGGCAAGTCTTGCCCCTGTTGGGCGGACTCCTGACTCCGCACCCTCGTCCGATTCGCCACGGTCCATCATCATCGCCATCATCACCAGCATAATCATCATCACCATCACCATCACCGCCGTCGTCGTCATCGTCATCATCATCACCATCACCATGACCATCACCTTCACTATCACCATCTCCATCACCATCATCATCAACATAAACATCATCATATCATCAACATTATCAACATCATCATTAGCATCTTCTTCATCATCATCACCCTCCATTATTATTCTCGTCCACATTGTGTTCCCCGTTCGGATCATCGCTCTCGTCCTCCTGCTGGCCGGCAGCGTTGGTTCGGCGGGCATTCGCAGCACAACGCGCATGCGTGAACTGTCCTCCTCGCCCTGTTCCTTCTTCTCAACCTGTCGTCCCTCCGCCCTCCCCCTTCTCACGGGCAGATATTATGTTCCATATCAGTAACATACACTCCTACTCTGCCACCTCGACGACCGATAGCGCCCAACTCTGGGGCCTCCCATCCTACAGGTCCAATACAAACAATCGACTCTTTGACTCTCAACAATCGTCATCGCTCGGACATCCATTCACCGTGAATTGTCCAGTTTCGAGCACTTATGTTTCGCATAATGATCCAGGGTGCTCCTCGATGGTCCACGCCGAAAAAAACCACACGTCCGAGCGATGCCAGGTGCCTCGGCGCTTGGCGGATTTCACCGGAATCTGGCGTTCCCGCCCCAGCGCGGCGCAAATTTTGCACTCGCCAAGTGTTGGGGCCCCGCGCGAGCGGGCGAGATGTCGCCCTTCAAGTGGCGTTTTCCGAGCGGGCGCAGCGCATGTGCTGCTCGCCGAATCGCATGAATGCGGCAGTTTGAGGAGGCCGAGGCTTGCGAACGCCAAGGCGACGCCGAGGAACAGGAGGAGGAGGAGAAAGAGGAGAAGGAAGAGGAAATGGAAAAGGAACATGGAGCCTATGCATTTGGGCGTTGGCCGAGTATTGCATAACAAAATGGCAATGGTGAAAGGAGCGCAGACGATGCTTGGCCGCTGCAGCACTAACTGCTGCAGGCTGGTAGGAATGGAGACCAGAAAGACGCCCGCCCGAACCCCAAGAAACCGCCGAACCACGCCAACACAACGCCGGACGTCCGCGGGACAACCGCGGGACAGCCAAGGGACAGCCGCGGGACAGCCGCGGGGCAGCCGCGGGACAGCCGCGGGACAGCCGCGGGACAGCCGCAGGACGGACGCGGGACAGCCGAGGCAAAGCGGGCCGTCGGGCGGGACGGCCGCGGGACGGCCACGGGACAGCGGCGGGACAGCCACGGGTCAACGACGGGACAACTACGGGGCAGGCGAAGCAAAGCTGGGAGCCGATATGCTGCTCGGGCACGAGATCCCCCCCCGCAGTTTGCCGGACTCTGCCAAATCACGGTTGGTGAAGGGACGAGGAGGATAAAGGAGACGCGGGGTCTGGGGGGCGACGAAGGCAAACGAGGACGAGGAGAACGGTCGAGGTTTTGGGGCGAGACGAATGTAACGGACAAGTGGGGGCGAGGACCGCGGGGGCCACGGCGGGGCGAAGTGTCACGATCACATGGAGACGGACGGAGAAGGTGAATGAGATGAAGAGCAAGAGGGCGGAGGAGTGTCGAGGACAAAAAGAAGGAGAAACAAAGGCGAGGGGAAAGAGTAGGGAACCGAAAAAACAAGGAGAAACGAGACGAAGCGGGTCGATGAGATGGAGACGGAGCACGGGGCCCCACTTTTGCCCCGATATCAGACAACAAAAACACCCGCAAAAGGCCCAACCATCATCCCGATGCGCTCTCCGGCCCCCCAGCGGCGCACCAGGTACTCCGAAAAAACAGGGGCGATGTGTTTGGCTCCGTCGGGCGCGACAATCGACGAACGCACGCTTTTCCCAACCATCCTGTGGTGTTGGGTCCTCGTTTTGAAGAGACGGTGCCCCGCGTCCCACCCACTCCTCCTCCCTCCTCCTCCCCCTTATTCCCTCCTTCATGAGGTTTCACCCACCCAATACAGCGCTTCGCGGCCCCATATGGAGCTCCAGTGGGGGTGGCCACATGCGTCGGCCACACCCAGTACACCGTTTCGTGGCCCCATAGGGAACTCCACGTAAGGCCCCAATTGGGGGGGTACCACACGCGTCCGCCACACCCAGAACAGCGCTTCGTGGCCCCATAGGGAGCTCCACGTGAAGCCCCAGTGGGGGTGGCCACATGCGTCCGCCACACCCAGTACGGCACTTTGTGGCCCCATAAGGAGCTCCACGTACCCAGTGGGGGTGGCCACATGCGTCCGCCACGCCTCGTACAGTGTTTCGTGGCCCCAAAGGGAGCCCCACCTAAGGACCCAGTGGGGATGGATGGCCGCATGCGTCCGCCACACCCAGTACAGCGCTTCGTGGCCCCATAGGGAGCCCCACCGAGGCCCCCAGTGGGACCGCGCACGTGCGTCCCACACACCCAACTTGGCAGTTTCACCCACACAGTACAGCGCTTCGTGGCACCAAAGGAAGCTCCACCGAAACCCCCAGTGGGACCGTCAGCATGCGCCCCGCACGCCCAATTTGGCATTTTCACCCACCCAGTATAGCGCTTCGTGGCCCATAGGGAGCTCCACCGAGGCCCCCAGTGGGACCGTCCGCATGCGTCCCGGAAACCAAATTTGGCATTTTCACCCACCCAGTAGCGTTTCGTGGCCCCATAGGGAGCTCCACCGACGGCCCCAGTGCTACCGCCCGCATGCGTTCCCCAACACCCAGTGCAGCGCTTCGTGGCCCCGTAGGGATGTTCACCGAAGAATATATTCACAATTGCGGTACCCACAACTGCATCTGGTTGGGTCCTTCGCCAGGATAGTTGTTTTTGTTTCGACGTTTTCCATGGCCGAGCCGCGCCCGCGTCGGGGCGAGCGCATCTCGCCAACGACAACAAAATCACCCCAGGTGCTGAACCTCGCGCGAAGCATGCTCCTGCGATCGCGCCGGCAACGATTCGGGGCAAGACTGAAGCTCGCGCTGTCTCCGCCAGGCGGCGAAGACCAAGTTAGCCACACATGCAAAGACAAAGACTGTCCGCGCCGTGGGAAGGCTGCCTGCCAGGGCCCTGGGGCCCCGTCTACGGCCTGGCAGGCAGCCTGGGGGGGTGATTGTCAGGCGTGGCCTCTTCACGGCAGCGGCGGCGGGGCCCCGCGAGAGCGGGCGAAATGATACCCTGGCACAAGCGCCGCGCAATTTGCGAATGAAAGAGGCAATGCTGTTTCGGAGCGGCACATCCTTGGTCTTCGCCGCGCTCCTCGGACGTGTTGCCGCTCCCGCCCCTGCGCGGCCAACTTCGCCCCCCCCCCTCGCCAAAAAAATCCGAAGCAAAACCGTGCGCGAGCGCCTCCCGTTCGTTAGCTGGTCACGCGGTCCGATCCAAGTAGACAGCTGCGCCATCCTGTTGAAGGGGCCCCCTGGGCCCAGGGGCCCAGGAGCCCCCATAGTTCTCCACATTTTCTGATTTGTGATCGTCCCTTTCCACTTCCGATCGTATCCACGTTCTCCTGGGAATCGACGATAAGTTGTGTCTGTGTGTTCTTGTCCTTCCCCCGAGATAGATTCCTCTGCTATGGGGGGACGGTAAGATTGGCCCAGGCCGCGAGCGCGCTCGACCTGGCTAGCCTGACCTCCTATCTACGCCTACTCTTCGTTCTCACCGTCCTCTTCCTTCCTGCCTCCCTCCTCTCCATCGTCCCTTTCCTCCTCCTCGTCCTCCTCCTCCTCCTCCTCCCCATCCTGTTCTCCCACTCGTGATCGTGATCCGCCGACCCCCTGGGGTCACGGCGTGTGAGATGCTCCCCCCTCCCCAAACCCCTCGCCCGGGGGCCTGGTCCGGCTGTTTTGGAAAGGGAAGGGGTGGGGGGGCCAAATCCGCCATCCGCACACTTGGAGCCCCAGGAGGCCCCAACACAGGCTAAAAGAGGCGCCCCAAAAAGGCCCTCCAGAAGCAAACATCGTCTCATTTCCTGCGGAAGACGCGGCGCCAAACGACCCAAGAAGCCTCCAAGATCGACCCTCGCCAGCCCGAACGGCTCCAGAAACCATAGCAACGGCTCGGGAAAGCCGCAGGACGGTCCCAAGAGGGCTCTAAAACGGGGCAAGAGGGCCCCCGAATGCTGTCCGGACGGCCCAGACCGCCCAAGACCGCCGCCAGACGGCCCCATGGGTGTCCAAGACGTTTGAAAACGCGACCACGAGGCGCTCCAAGAAGCCCTCCAAACGTAAAAACAGTCCCGTTCCCCAGGTAAAACGTACATTTTCAGCACATTCGCTTCTTGAGCTTTCACGAGGCCCACAACGGCCCAAGAAGCCTCCAAGATCGACCCTCGCCAGCCCAAAAGGCTCCCAGAAAGGCTCCAAGACGGCGTCTGGGCGATCCACGAAGGCCCCAGAAACCATATCAACGGCCCAGGAAAGCCGCAGGACGGTCCCAGAAGGGCTTCAAAACGGGGCAAGAGGGCCCCCAAATGCTGTCCGGATGGCCCACGCGGGGGACGATTCGGCCCAAACCGCCCAAGATCGCCGACAGACGGCCCCATGGGTGTCCAAGACGTTTGAAAACGCTACCACGAGGCGCTCCAAGAAGCCCTCCAAACGTGAAAACCGTCCCATCCCCCAGGTGAAACACATTCGCTTCTTGGGCTGTCACGAGGCCCACAACGGCACAATAAACCTCCAATATCGACCCCTGTCACCCGAAGAGGCTACCAAGAAAGCTCCAAGACGGCTTCTGGGCGATCCGCAAAGGCTCTAGAAACCAAAGCAACGGTCCCACGAGGGCCCCAAAACAGGCCAAAAAGACTCCCAAAGCCCAAAGGCTGTCTGGACGGCCCACGCGGGGGACAATCCGGTCCAAACCGCCCAAGACTGCCTCCAGACAGTCCCATGGGCGTCCAAGACGCTTGCATACGCGACCACGAGGCACTCCAAGCAGGCCTCCACCAGCAAAAACCGCCCCATTCCCTTGGTAAAATGTACATGTTCAACACATTCGCTTCTTGGGCTTCCACAAGCCCTACAACGGCCCAGTAAACCTTCAAGATCGACCTTTGGCACCCCAAGAGACTCTCCAAGAAACTCCACGACGGCCTCCGGGCGCCCCACGAGGGCACCAGAAACCATAGCAACGGCGCGGGGGAATGGCAGGACGGTCCTAAGAGGGCTCCGAAATATGTCCAGAGGGGCCTCACAGGCTGTCCGGACAGGCCACGCGGGGACGACTGCTGCGCCCCAAGGGGTCGGCGGTGTGGCGTAAGCCAATGAATCCACGTCCGGAAGTGACGTGTTGCCGGAGGCAGGTCGCGCAGCGGAGCGGAAGCCCTAATGCAACGTATCCAATGTTTCCAATGATTGCATAATTGCCACATATTGTATTGTGTTACATTATTATGTCTCCCCCCTTAATCCCCCCCCAGGGCCGCCGCCGAGTCGCCGACCCCTTTCGTCCACTAATTCAACAACCTACAAAAACCTATGGACATCATTGATTTCGGCCTCTGGGCCCTCCTCGGAGCCCAGAAGGGGCGTCAAGACGGCTCAAGATGGCTTCAAGGCGGCCGAAGAGAGTCTCAAAACGGCCTCAAGACGACCCAAGATGGCCCCAAGAAAGCCCAAAGGCTCACAAGACGCCGCCAGAGGGTCCAAAGAGGACCCCCCAAGAGCGCCTCCAGAAGCCAAAATCATAGATTTTCCCATGGTTTTGGGAATATTTTCGCGTTCTCGCCTTTCTCGACGCTGACAAGCCAATGACGGCCCAAGCACCCTCCAAAAGCACCCCAAGAAGCCCCAAGAAGCCCTCCAAAGGGCCCCAAGACGGCCCGAGAGGGCCCCAATACGGCTCAAAGCAACCCCCAAGACGGTCCAAGAGGCCCCTAGGACGGCGAAAAAACATCCCAAGAGTGCCCCAAGGCGGCCGTGGGAGGCCCCCAAGACGGTCTCCGAAGGGGCGAAACGGCGGAAGAGCGCCCATAGACGGGCCAGGACGCCCCCAAGAGGCCCCAATATGCCCCAAATAGGCCCCCAAGGGGCCTCAAGATGTCCCCAAGAGGGAGGCATGGCGGCCCAAACTGCCTCCAAAATTGCCACCGAGAGGATGACACATGCGACGGTCCACGTCCGGACTGCAGCGAAGCGTCTCGGCAGTCCGACAGAACGGGTGTGTGACGCCAGGGCCCAGCCACGATACGTCAAGGAAGGCCGATTGCAAAACATCGCATTC